GTGGACTAGAAATGATGGGAATTGTAGTATCAGATATTTGAAGGGACAGTATGGCTTGTGTTGGATGAAATTAGTTTGCCCATTATGTATTTTAATATTATATAGACAAATGGACCAAGGCTTAAAGACAGGAGGTTAAAGATGCTGAAACAACTGGATATCTTTCAGTTTGGAAAAGACAGGAGCCAGAAGACAAAGGATTGTTTTCCTAAACATTTGAAGGGCTGCAAGATGGAGTATTTGTGTTTTATTTTTAATCCATTCCAGTGTTAACCCTGATTCCAGTTCCAGCCTTGTGAATTTTGATTTGTGACTTTAATGTTTTACTTTTACTATCTACACCAGCACTATAGACACATCCACATGTGCGAGACTCCTGATAACAATTCAACATTCCTGGAACTGAATGATGTAGTGAATGCAAGTAACATTGGAAAAGATGCACTTAAAAATCATTGGGCAGCTGAGTAGATAATATTGACATAGCGTCTGGACCACGGTATTAAGAATGCTGAATTATCTAATCCTGGGCCATTACTCCATGACTCAAGTACCCTGTGGTTTGAATTGTCTGTGACCCCTATTTTAATTTAAAGTACACACGACTGCAAGTGACAGAAGATCAAATATGGACGGAAGTCTGCTGTTTTTAAAGTTTCGGCAGCCAAAGCACACATTTACAGGCAGTTCCAGGGGTGCTGTGTGAGCCAGCAGAACGGTGTAGATCATCAAGGGGTTATCTGAGTAAAACAAGCCTGCAGAATGAAGCAGTGCCCTGTTTCTAATAAGCAGAAGTGAAGCAGACACCCCACTTTGCTTGGTAACAACTGGTCTTGTTCACTGGTGGGATTCAAATAATTTAACAACTGGTTCTCTGCCCTAATGACCAGCTGGGTAGGTGTGGCTCGGTGGTCATGTGACCGTGTGGGTGTGGCCAACTCAATGTCACTCATGTCGATGGGCGCTTTGCCTTAGGTGTTACAATCTAATAAGGGTTAACCAGAGAGGCAGTTTCTGTAAGCAGGGCAATAAAGATTAGGCTAAGAACAACACCAGAATGTTTCCTTCCTGCCTTCCTTACAGGATTAGCCCTGTAAAGTGGGAAAAAACAAAATAAGATTTCTTCCGAACTGCTTAGAAAGTTAACAACCAGTTCTCCCAAATAGGTGTGAACTGGCTGAATCCCACCACTGGTCTTGTTACTGAGCAGCTACTGCTTGTGAGGTGGATAGTTTGAGCCACAGTGGCCCAGTGGTGGAATTCAAATTTTTTTACTACCGGTTCTGTGGGCCTGGCTTGGTGGGCGTGGTGTGGCTTGGTGGGCGTGGCAGGGGAAGGATACTGCAAAATCTCCATTCCCACCTCACTCCAGGGGAAGGATACTGCAAAATCCCCATTCTCTCCCCTCCTGGGGGAAGGATATTGCAAAATCTCCATTCCCACCACGCTCTGGGGCCAGCCAGAGGTGGTATTTGCCGGTTTTCTGAACTACTCAAAATTTCCGCTACCGGTTCTCCAGAACCTGTCAGAACCTGCTGAATAGTACCTGAACCTGCAGTGCTATTCTATTATATTATTTCAAGGTGCACACACCTCCAGGAAAGGAAGGGTCTCAACAAGGTGGATGATTTGCAATCTGAATTTTCTTTTCAGCCAGAACAGTCACAATGGCACCCCAAGTTAGCTATTACTGTTATGGTATGCAAAAAGTCATGTTCCCATGAAGTATTGAAAATTATTTTAGCATTTGGAATTAAGAGAGCATTTCTTTCCAGCCGACCAGCTTAGGAATTGCCACAATTCCATGTCTGGTGCACACCTCTTTGTAGCCTAACAGAACTGATCCATATGCAAAAGTTTGGCAGCAATCTACCGGTAGTAGATCACTTATAACCTCGGTTCCTTCTCTGTTCAGTGACTAAAAGATTAGCTTCATCTCACTCTTTTGGTCTTTTTATGTGTATATGGCAATTTTCATGGAGCCAACATTAGGGCATTTTGGGAACCTGATGGTAATATCTCCAATGTTTCCTGTTTCTGGTCCACAATGCTGCCTAAGCTAATTGTGTGTGAAAACTCCACCCAGAGTTACCATGTGGTAAGGTGGGCGGCCAATAAATTTTAGAAATAAATAAACAGCACTTAGCAATAGCATTTAAGACTTATAGAATAGACTAGAATCTTTTATTGGCCAAGTGTGATTGGACACACAAGGAATTTGTCTTGGTGCATATGCTCTCAGTGTACATAAAAGAAAAGATACACTCATCAAGAATCATAAGGTACAACACTTAATGAGTACAAATAAGCAATCAAAACATATTAGGAAACAGTCAATATAAATCGTAAGGATACAAGCAACAATATACTACTTAATAGTGCTTTACAGCCCTCTCTAAGCGGTTTACAAAGTCAATGTATTGCCACCAACAATCCGGGTCCTCATTTTACTGATCTTGGAAGGATGGAAGGCTGAGTCAATCTTGAGCTTGTCAGGATTGAACTCTCGGCAGTGCACGGAGTTAGCCTGCAATACTGCATTCTAACCACTGTGCCACCTTGGCTCTTACAATAAATACATAAATAAATAAAACTGCTCTTCCAAAATAAATCACTAATGACAAACATGCTTGGAACTGAAATACATGCTGTTTATTAAAACAGACTCTTATTTTCAGAATTATAAAATGCAATTCTTACTATTCATTTCTGTTTAACTAATAAAATCAAACCTGGGATTTTTGCAGATCTACCAAAAGAGTTATTTTTTTTACTAAGATTTATTATTTTGCTCATGCAGATAAACTTGTGTGATCTTGATAACCAACTGGTGTTAGTTCCATTTTTTTTGCAATTGGATTTGGTAATAGAAAACTATTAAAATACAACAAAAAAAAAATCACAAGAGATTACTATACTTAGTAGACTACTACTATACTTAAGACAAAGTGATCAATTGCTTATAGGATTTGTTATAACATGAATGGACTTGTGGGAAACTAATTAGAACAGCTCATGGGGAAACACATTTTTAAATGTGTTATGTAGCTGAGTAACAATCAGGGAAAAATGGATATCAGTGCTTGATTGGAATGTGATCAGGAATGGAAAGATGAGGACATTAATTAGCCTTTGTTGCACATATATAAATTCTATGTGCACAAATGTGGGCCCGATGTTTAAAAGGGTTATAGCACACCAAAATATATGCAATATGTTTAAACATGCTATAAAATAGGTACTCCTAAAACGGAGAATTACTATAGACTAAATCCAGTTCAGCTTTTTTTTTTCATAAGCATGCACAATAATTTACACAATATAGACCACATATGCCACAGGTGGCACACAGAGCCCTCTCTGTGGGCAGAGCCCTCTCTGTGGGCATGCGCCATTGCCCCAGCTCAGCTGTGCTGCGCAAGCGTGCGCGCCTCCCGATGGCCAGCTGGTCTTCGGGTCTCTGCTGTGCATGCGCGGGGGGTGGGGTACATGCGTGGGGGAATGGGGCACATGTGCGGGGATGTGTGCATGTGGGGGGGCATGCACATGCATGTGGGTTGCACATGCATGTACAGAGGTCGCATGTGCATGCACAGGGTGCACATGCGTTGCATTTTGGGTATGTGTGTGTGTGTGTGTGTGTGCGCGCGCGCTTTGGGTGCCAAAAAGGTTTGCCATCACTGGTATAGACATAAGGTATCTGCTACATCTTTTAAGATCTCAAACACATTTGGGCCAGTTTTTGTTTGAGGAATTAAACTCCCCCTCTCAAAAAAGTGTTTCGAAATGTTTTCCCCATTTGCTTTGCGGACACTGTGACTTTCTATGTCTCTAAACCTGCCTAAGATGTAGACTACAAAAGGCTTATTTTTGTTCAAGGAACACAATTTCCCATAAGCATTTGATCCTTCCAGATAGCAATCCCTGAACAAGACAGGTGACTTCATTCTTTCCTGAGCAATGGAATCAGGTCTCTCATTGAGATTCAGCAGTGATCCTCATTTACCAAATATTTTGACTGGTGTATAAACTATTCATAATAAGCGAAGGGATGGAGAAAGGTCTGCTGAATATATAGTAAAAGGAAGGTGATCTTCAACTTACAATCACTCATTTAGTGACTATTTGTAGTTACAATGGCATTGAAAAAACTGACTTATAACCCATCTTCGCAGAATCCCCACATAATCAAAATTCAGCTGCTTGGCAACCAACATGTATTTGCCATAGTTGCAGTGTTCTGGAGTCATGTGATTGCCATTTGTGACTTTCCTAGTCAGTTTCCAACAAGCAAAGTCAAAGGAGGAAACCAGATTCACTTAACAACCATATGATTCCTTTAACAACTGCAGCAGTTCACTTAAGCATGGCAAAAAAAGATCGTAAAATTGGGTGCAACTCACTTAACAATCGCTTTGCATAGCAATGTAAATTCTGGTTCCTAATTGTGGTTGTAAGCAGAGGACTATCGGTATATACATTTTTGCATGCAGGGAAAACTTGAGTGCTTATAAAATAGTAATTCTACAAGAATGAAAGGTGCCAATTTGAGAAGAAAATAAGTGTGGCAAAAGTAGTTATAATCATTCCAGAAAAAAACAGAAAACAAAAACCTTCACTTTCAGGTTGATTCTAGATAATTAGGAAATATGTGGAAGTAGGCTATTCCTTATATAGTTATGAATTCAACATTGGAAATAGACATAATTGTTTTTTTTTTATTAAAGAGTTTTACAGAAAGAAAAAAAACAAAAAAAATTTTTACAAGTATTTCTCCATCCCTCCCTCCCTTCCTCCGCCCCCCCCGAACTTCCCAGAACAAAATACAGGGTATACAATTGACAATCATATGCTAAACTAAGCTAATAAACTAAGGATTCCTATACCCCCCATCACACTTTAACTCCCCTTTTACTAACTAAGCATCAATACTCTTAATTTTTCTATTCATTCATAAGCTATTTGATACTTTTTAGTCCGATATTTGTTTTGAATATAATCAATCCATCTTCTCCATTCCGATATAAATCTTTCTTGTGAGTGATCTTTCAAATATGCCGAAATCTTCGCCATTTCTGCCAAATTCGCTACTTTTAATGTCCATTCTTCAATAGTAGGCAAATCTTCCTTCTTCCAGTATTGCGCCACCAAAAATCTAGCTGCAGTTATTAAATTTAAAATCAATTTAGTCTCTATAACCATACAATCTGTGATTATACCAGCAAAAACAATTATGGAGTAAACTTTATCTTCTTTTTAAGAGTATTTTGGATAATCCACCATATTTTAATCCAAAATGCTTTAACCTTTTTACAAGTCCACAATATATGATAGTAAGTGGCATCATCACAATCACATCTACAACACTTAGATTGTAAATTCGGATACATACAAGCCAACTTTTTAGGATCTAAATGCCATCTATAAAACATTTTATAAAAATTTTCTCTTAAATTTTGTGCTTGCGTAAATTTTACATTTCTAACTCATATTTTTTCCCAAGTTTCCATCATTATTGGTTCCTGAATATTTTGTGCCCATTTTATCATACTATCCTTAACTTCTGAATCTATTTCTATCAATACATTGTATAATCTTTTTATATGCATTTGACCTTGATCTCTAATTTGTTTTACCAAATTTTCCTCATTCTGCATGATACCAATTCACTGATCTTCTTTCCATCTAGCTTGCAACTGACCATACTGAAACCAAGTTTGAATTATTCTTTCTTCTTTTAATGCGCTTAAAGATTTTAACTGCAATACCTCCCCTTCCATTTTAAGAAGCTCTTTATAAGTAATCACCTCTTGCTTTTGTTCTATACTTATATTCTCTATCGCATGTCTGGGTATCGCCCATATAGGTATCTTATAATTTAACTTATATTGATACTTTTTCCAAACTCGTAACAAGGCATTCCTTAATATATGCCTTTTAAAGGTTTTATCCACCTTTTTATCATATAATAAATAAGCATGCCAGCCATATAATAAATCATATCCTTCAATATTCAATATTCTTTCTTCTGTTGAGTTAATCCAATCACTAATTATTGTTAGGACAGCTGCTTCATAGTATAATCTTAAATTAGGCATTTTAAGACCTCCTCTTTCACGTATATCTTGCATTATTTTTAACTTTATTCTCGGTCTTTTCCCTGCCCAAACAAAATTATTAATACCCTTCTGCCAATTCCTCGGATTTTCATCTTTCTTGAGTATTGGTATCATTTGGAACAAAAATAGAAACCTAGGTAGAACATTCATTTTTACTGCTGCTATTCTTCCTAACAGAGATAATTGTAGTTTCCCCCAATTCTCCATCTCTTTCTGTATTTTTTGCCATAACATTTCATAATTATTTTTATATAATTTTACATTTGAGGCTGTGATATATACCCCTAGATATTTAACCTTTTTTACTATTTCAAATCCTGTTAGTCTTTCTAGTTCTTCTTTTTGCTTTGCCATCATGTTTTTAGTTATTATCTTTGTTTTTTGTTTGTTTATTTTAAATCCAGACATTTGTCCATATTGGCTAATTATATCCATTAAACCTATAGCTTGATTGTACTGGTTGAGTTAAGGTAACAACCAAGTCATCTGCAAATGCTCTTAATCTATAATCATGATGTCTAATTTTAATTCCCTTTATTTTATTTGTCCCTTGTATTTTATTCAATAAAGGTTCCAAAGTTAAAATAAACAATAACGGTGACAAAGGGCATCCGTCTTGTTCCTTTTTCAATTTTAAAAGTTTCTGTTAAAACATCATTAATTATTATTTGTGCTGTTTGTCTCTGATATATTGCTCTAATAGATTGTGTAAAGTATTCTCCAAACTGCATCTTTTCTATTATTTTCAATAAAAATTGTCAATTCAATCGATCAAATGCCTTCTCTGCATCCAGAAAGATAAACGCTGCAGGGACTTGGTTGTTCCTTTCCAGATATTCCAATAAGTTTACAATTTGTCTTACATTACCTTTCATTTGTCTCCCACTTATAAATCCAGATTGGTCATTATGGATCATTTGTTGCATAATTACCATTAACCTATTTGCTAGTATTTTAGCAAAAATCTTATAATCAGTATTTAAAAGCGATATTGGCCTATAATTCTTATATGATCTTGGTCATAGTCACATAATTGTTGACACCTTTGAGGATTATCCTGGCCAAAAATATCATTCCAAAGACACTTCTGGCACAATCGGTTGAATGGAGAAATTAAGAGTGCAAAATAGACGCAGCTAAAACAAATCTTGAGAACTTTCCAAAAGTTCTCAATGGCTGAGTTAACCATCACAAGTGGAAATGAAGAGGATGATCAAAGAGGAACCTGTGGAATTAATCCAGAAGCCTGAGCAAACTCCAGCCATTGCTGCCCTAAAGAAACATACAAGGAAGGATGGAAGATTAAAGTTGTTTCAACTTTTAAGAATGAATAGAAACTACAAGAAAATTTTTATTCTTTTGTGTTCGATGTAGTTGATGAAAACAACTGACAAGCCATCATTTCTCAACCTCAGCAACTTTTATCAAATGTGGATTACAACTCCCAGAATTTCCCAGTCAGCATGCTGACTGAGGAATTCTGGGAGTTGAAGTCCATACATCTTAAAAGTTGTCAGGGTTGAGAAACACTGGATTAGGAAACAATCATAACAATATTATGAAGGGTTTTTAGATGCCTGCCTTATTTTTTTCCAGACATGTTTTCAATTGCCTTGGCTGTTGAATTGACTGTGATATATTATATTGTTATTGCTTATAGAGGTAATTCTCCAAGAGCAGTTTTAATCTTCGCAACAAAGGAAATACGTAAGCAGTAGGCTCTCAATATTTATTTATTTAATGATTTTCATGGCTACTCATGTCAAAACAATGACTCTGAGCAGCTTACTTCCACTCTTATTCATAGTTTTATAAACTTCTTGATTTGTTCCTTTTTTCCAGCTTCTTGAGCCAAAGACAGGATATAAATTAAAAAATGCAAGATTCAATTAAATCTGAACAGAGGTGTAGTATATCTGTGGTTTTCTGCAACATGTGTAAACTTTTATAAAATATTATTTTCTCTCCCTTTCCACCACTGGATTTAAAAGCTTGTTGCCAAGGCTTCCAGTTACAATTGTATGCAATTACTCTGAGAAAAAACTTTGCTTAGGAATCAGAGCAATTAAGTTGAACCCAGTGAAGAACGGGCTTAGGAGTGACCACTTCTCTAAGGTGGAGAGATTTCTGACAGCAACTAACAACCATTAACAACCGCTAACTAACAGCAACTAGAACTCCTGTGCTGGAGGTTTCCTCACAGCTGAAAGCAAGGATTCCATGGTCTACAGAGCCCTTCCTTCTAAACTGATTATGATCAAAGATATTAGGGTAAATCCTGCAGGAATAAAGCATCACCTGCAGATCATTTAATTAAGTTCTTCCTTGCAATGTATTCTTTTTCTCAGGAAGTGACACGTAGATGTGGTTTGTTCCTTTGGGGTATCAGCATTAAGCACAGAGGTAAGAAATGGGGCTACAATCCTATATATACTATACTATACCTTTCTTAAATAAATGCTCTTGGAAGCCCATGCAACGTCCTATGTTTGAGTAACAACTCAAAAGCTAACACCTTGGTTGAAATCGAGCTTAACTTTGCTTTCATTCAACCCCACACGTGGAGGGAGGAGGGGAAATCACTTAACTGCAGTGATTCACTTAACTGTGCCAAGACAGGTGGCAAAATGGGGCAAAAATCACTTAACAAATGTTTCACTTAACAACAGAAATATCGGACTCCATTGTGGTCGTTAAGTCGAAGATGACCTGTAGTTTTGTTTTGCATCTGGAAGGGTGGCAAAAAGTGGAAGAGACACTTTTGCACCTAGAAGTGATGGGCTGTATGCTAAAATAAAGCCAGGTCATAATACACACTTGAAAGTAAATCAGGAGGCCTGTAATTGGGGAGTGTGTCTAGCAAGAACAAAGAATGCTTATCTACAGGAAATATGCATGTGTAAATCTTGTAACAATTCTGGGTAGTTAGAAAACTGATAAAAGTAACAAGAGTTAGACAAGTTGCAGGACTCATTTAAAAATTAGGAATGGCGAAGGCCTGCAGCCAATAAAATGTGTATTAGATAATTCCTGGGGCATTCATTAGCCAAGGCTTAGGAAAGGGACAGCTAGAGACCAATAGAACAAATTGTAGAATTATTACTAAAATGTTTATTAGATGATATTTCTCGCCTTGTCCCACTTCTCCTTTAGTGAAAAGGTATAAAGCTTACTTAATCCTTTGTTCTTGGCATTTTGGCCAGGAGCCCTTTTTCCTTGGAGTACTCCAATAAAAAGCAAACAGAAAACATGTACCTCGTGTCTGGCATCCATCATTGGCTTCGGCACCAGGCTCAGACCTGGATTAGGGATAACAATCTGGGGGCCCGTTCTGGGATTCCACACCTGGATTCAATTGGAAGACACCAACGACTACCAGAGGAGGGTCCCTGGATGGGTAAGTGGCTGAAAGGTGTGTGAATGCTCTGAATTAGAACTCCTGGTCGGTGACCAAGACTGTGTGTTTCTGCATTGCCAGCCGCCCTCAGAGCTCTTGAGTCTTTTGACAGTGATTGAGTAGGCTGAAAAGCAAGGGGTGATGCGGAGATCCACGTGTCTCACTGATGCATAGAGTGGACTGATTGAATGCAATGAGCCACTGTCTAAATGAACGTCCAGCCTCGGTAAAATCCTTGGTGACTTCTTAACTGAACTCAAAGGCTGAAGCCCTGAAGAAAGCGAGGAGCAGGAACAAGCACTGGTGGAAGAAAAAGAAAGAGGCAAAATATGGAGAAAAGGTAAGGATTGGACAGGAGACGTCTCAGGGGATAAGAGGAATCCACCTGAGATCCGGCTTTGAAATGGGAAACTGGTAGCAAAAAGGCATCCAGTGTGTGTGTGGGGGGGGGTGGGGTGGGGGGCACGACAGAGTTGCCAAAAGGGAAGCTGCCCGATGGGTTCTATTTTGCCTCATTTTGAGATACTAGGAGGATTAGATCTAGGGATCAAAGCAGTGGTGAAATCCAAATTTTTTACTACCGGTTCTGTGGGCGTGGCATGGTGGGCATGGTGTGGCTTGGTGGGTGTGGCTGGGGAAGGAT